CACAGAATCCCACTTCACCCACGCACCCAGAGATTGTGTAAAACCGTGTGCCCCCCCTCTTTTGGTTATCAGAGTGAGGAGGGCCGAACGGTCATTCACTGTTCCCGGGCGCATGGTTGACATGAGCTTCTGCGGTGCGGACAACCCCGCGACCCACCCGAGACCCACCCGCGAACCCACCCGTGACCCACCCGCGACCCACCCGCGACCTACCCGCGACCCACCCGCGACCCAACCCGTGACCACCCACATTGCACATTGTTTTAGCAAAGAAACGCCTGCGACGGGCTTGTTGTATAATTTGTAAAAATGTATGTGCCTGCGGCGGGCTTCTTCAGAGCCTCGCAGACTGCCGACGACCCCGCCGCACCCTCACTCTTATCCACAACTGCGGGGTGCTACGTAGATGTGTCTATTAGTGGTGAGCTTGTCAATGGATGCACGTCTTTTTGACCGTGAGTTTGATAGTTGCCTGTGTCGGTCGGTAGCTATATGGCTGAATTTCGAGCTATACCGAAGGCTGGTAAATACTACATTTCCCTGATACGAGGAAGCTGGCTAAGGCTTTCTGACCCAGATACTAACATCGGGAAGTGCCAGGACATGAGGTGCCCACATGAGGACCTGTACGTCGAACAACTGTTGAATGATTTGAGTATCCAGAGCCGTCCCTGGGGGCTTCGAGACGGTCCGAGAGGCCGCCAGTATCGCCCCAGGTCGGCCCGCTTGGTGCCAGCTCAGAGCATGTTGGAGGTCGAGGCTCGAAGCCACGCTGCCGACGCCTCTGGGAAAGTCACGCGGGCATATCCTGGGAGCGCGCGAGTGTGTTCGAGGAGCGCCAGGGACCCGAGAGCCACAGTCCCCTGAAAGAGCATTTACGCGCGCTGCTCAGCACAGAGATGCCGAAGGGCCTGCCTGTGAACACTTCGTTCAGTGCCCACGGCACGGTGGCGGATGTGTACATACATCTCTATGTATGCATTAACACATACACGTATCTGTGTATGTATATACATGCGTACATGCTTTCGAATGTGTGTATGTGGTCGCGCGCGTATGTGTGTATACACATCTACATGTACACATGATCATGTATAGTCACAGCCAGTTGGTTCTTTGGTTCGGTTCTTCGGCAGATCGCCCGGCAGTTCGACGCGTTCATCGCTGGCCCCCCGCCGCCTCCGGCCCGAGAGGAGTTCAGCAAGTGCGCGAGGCCCGTCGGCGCCGCGTCCCAGAGCGGCCCGTCGGACTTCGGGGTGGGAACCATGTAGATACCTGCGGCCTCGCGCCCTTCAGCGGCGCGCCGAGGGGGGAAGGGAGAGCGGGGGCAGGCCTTCTTAGACGGCCGCGGGTCTCCGAAGCTCTCCGGCCTTTGGGAAGCCCCCTCTGGCTTCCGAGGAGGCTTAGAAATATTCATCTGGTGCGATCTCAATGGGTTTGGAAGCACAGGGTTCAAAGTCCAACAGCATCCCTTGTTCATTCTGAACGGGTTTAGCTGTCGGCGTCGCAGTGGTCGTTGTTCATTTGGGACAAAAGGCCGCCTGCCCAACAGCGGCCACTGTCGGTTTGGGACAGCATTTGTTGTTGGCCATCGTGCCCATTGTTTCCGTACCTGTTCCGGGCGTCCAACAATTAGCAGAAGAATCCAGCGCGGATCCAAGACATTCGCGCGGAGCGCGACCAAAAGTTTATGTTGATTGGGTCTTTTGGGAAGGGCCGCCCCCTCTTGCTTCCCTTCCCTCGGCGCGCCGACGAGCCCCTGACTCCCCTGGCCGCGCACCCCCGCGGATGCCCTGGGCGGCTCCGCGAGGGTGCCCCCCCCCGCGCGGAGCGCACCCGTGGGGGTCGCGCTTCCCGAGGTGGTTCGCGCCGCGGTGTCCAGACCGCTCGGGGGCGTGGATGCTCGGCGGCGCGCCCGGGAAGGGAAGGCATTAGCGCCGCGCTCATTTGTTTTACATATTTGCAAGGTCTTCACGGATTGAGGGCGGGTGGTTTCAAAATGTGGTTCTCGCCGTAGCGCCGCGCACATTCGTTTTAAACATTTGCAAGAGATTCACGGATTCCCATGAGCAACGTACCAGGAATGGTGTTTTGGAAGGGTTCAGGATTATGCGGGCGCAACAGTTAAGTTGATTCGCTGTGTTGAAGTCTCACAAATGGCGTTCTGGCACGATTCTGGATCGCCAAGACGAAGCAGTCAGTTGATAGGTGGCGTTGAAATCCAGGGAACAATGTTGTCACGCTTCAGGATCTTCAAACTGTTGTCTTCCAGCGAGGCAGTTCCCTCAATGGAAATGAACCGTCGTAGGGGCCTATGAAGAGGGAGCTTGGAGGGAGGGTTAATTCCACCATCGTTGATGACTAGGGCTTCCACTGGTCCTCTTCCTCCTCCTCCTCCTCCTCCTCCTCCTCGCCGCCCCTCCTCCTCCTCCTACCTCCCCTCCGCCTCCCCTCCTCCCGCAGCCTCCTCCCTCCCCTTCTCCTCATCCGCCTCATCTCCTCCTCCGCCCGCCTCCGCCCTCCTCCGCCCTCCTCCTCCTCCTCCTCCTCCTCCTCCTCCTCCTCCTCCTCCTCCTCCTCCCCCTCCTCCTCCTCCGCCCTCCTCCGCCCTCCTCTGCCCTCCTCCGCCCTCCTCCGCCCTCCTCCGCCCTCCGCCCTCCTGCGCCCTCCTCCTCCGCCCTCCTCCTCC